GGACATCCTCCCCTGTGTAAAGTAACCCTTGCCTATGTAAGACACCCTCCCCTGTGTACGATATCCCTTACCTGTGTAGGACACCCTCCCCTGTGTACGATATCCCTTACCTGTGTATGACACCCTCCCCTGTGTACAGTAACCCTTGCCTATGTAGGACACCCTCCCCTATGTACGGTATCTCTTACCTGTGTGGGAGACCCTCTCCTGTGTACGGTATCCCTTGCTCGTGTAGGACACCCTTCCCCGTGTATGATATCCCTTCTTGAATACAATTTCCCCTCCCCTGTGAACATTCTATCGTCCATATGTACAGTACGCTACATATATATATATATATGTATATAGTATTCCCTGTGTATAGTGCCCTCTCCCTGTATACAATGTCCACTTTGTGTTACTGTACTCCTTCCTCCTGTACAGTACAGTTTATGCAGCGCCCATCTCTACATATCTTCCGTTGTTTGCTCTCTCGTAACAGCATCAATACCCTTTACTTTGCCTCGTCGTCTCCCGTCTATAGTTCCCTGCCTTGTGTACATACTCCGTGTTACAGACAGAGAAGATATTTAGTCTCGGCAGTTCGTGTGTTTGGAATGACGAGCCAAATACATAATTATAGTAGGGCCTTTACACCTGAAGAGAAACAATTACTGCCACAGTAATGTATTTGGCCCAGTCTCCTGTCACCTGTTCAGAAGACTTATTTATAATATCTGTGTCGACTTGGTGCAAGTTTACCCAAATTGATATAAATGTATGCACCTTATGACAACGTCGTGGATATTACTTAAGATGAACTTGACTAGATTTTCTTGTTCGTTCTTAATTTAAAAATCTATTAAAATGTTAACTTGTTTTACAAAAGATTGTGATTGCGTTCGGAGACTGAGATGATACTGTCTTTTATGATGTCAAAACATTCGTAAAGTGATTTAAGAGGAAGGGATTTTTTAGTTGCAGCGCAACCTCAAAGTTTCCCGCGTTGATTTTTCCGCGTGACAGTTACTGTAAATAAAGACATTTTTGTGGGGCTCGTTTTAGTGATATTCTAAACATTACTGTTTGGTTGGCACTTGATATCATGCACGAATAATGATGATAAAAGCCCGCTGGTATCAAAATTAATGTCAAATTAAGCTGTTTACGTTTTATGGACTTACAAATTCGTGGATGGACAAAATCAATAAAAATAATGAAAATAAAACATCCTCAAAAAAGATAATTTTACAGTAAAGTCATTATGTGCTATGTATGATGACATGTAAATAAACGATATTACAGTAAAGTCATTATGTGCTATGTATGATGACAGGTAAATTAGCGATATTACAGTAAAGTCATTATGTGCTATGTATGATGACAGGTAAATAAACGATATTACAGTAAAGTCATTATGTGCTATGTATGATGACAGGTAAATAAACGATATTACAGTAAAGTCATTATGTGCTATGTATGATGACAGGTAAATAAACGATATTACAGTAAAGTCATTATGTGCTATGTATGATGACAGGTAAATTAGCGATATTACAGTAAAGTCATTATGTGCTATGTATGATGACAGGTAAATAAACGATATTACAGTAAAGTCATTATGTGCTATGTATGATGACAGGTAAATAAACGATATTACAGTAAAGTCATTATGTGCTATGTATGATGACAGGTAAATTAGTGATATTACAGTAAAGTCATTATGTGCTATGTATGATGACAGGTAAATTAACGATATTACAGTAAAGTCATTATGTGCTATGTATGATGACAGGTAAATTAACGATATTACAGTAAAGTCATTATGTGCTATGTATGATGACAGGTAAGTTAGCGATATTACAGTAAAGTCATTTTGTACAATATATGATGACAGGTAAATTAACGATATTGCAGTAAAGTCATTATGTACAATATATGATGACAGGTAAGTTAGCGATATTACAGTAAAGTCATTTTGTACAATATATGATGACAGGTAAATTAACGATATTACAGTAAAGTCATTTTGTATAATATATGGTGACAGGTAAGTTAGCGATATTACAGTAAAGTCATTTTGTACAATATATGATAACAGGTAAATTAACGATATTACAGTAAAGTCATTTTGTATAATATATGATGACAGGTAATATAGTTTTATCTTTATATATCACTCTAATTAAGATTTGATCTCTCCGTGTACACAATTTATCTACCTAATTCTTATGTCAAAATTTGATATTTTAAGTAATATAATTCTATATCGGCAGCAGTGTAAGGATATAGGTTAATTATCATAAGTATACGAAACATATGAAAACTTGTGTTAGGCGGGTTTGAGAGGTTGTAGGGTACATTCCTGTAATACGAATAGAGGATAAATGTTTTATAGGTGAAATGAAATAGGTGTAATGATTCAGTCCTTATCATTTTGATGGCTATTTTTTTACGAAATTTAGGAAGAAATATTACTACTTAAGATAAGGTGTAGTATAGTACTTGAAATTCACACCTATTTAGCCGTGAAACGAGAAAAAGTCTACATCCCAGACATTCAGTGTAGATAGGATCAGAAGACTATCTAACTTACTGTTTTAGTATCTCTTACTTATCGTCCTACAGCTGGCTACAGTTACACTTTCCCAAACTAGTTTTTCTCACTAAAAAGTTCCGTTTTATCCAAGTTAGTCCCAAGGACAGGTGAACATATGCCTTACCGCGACGTCCGTCGTCCGCCGTCAATCCGTTTGTAGTCCGTCAACTTTTTATCTAAAATTGCTGCTTATCATGAATGACTGAACTAATGTGGCCAGAAGCATCCTAGAGGAAAGATCAGCTATGACACCTGAGCCCGGAGATAGGGCATTATAAGAGATATATAACAAAGTCTTCTTTTTTTTTATTTCTTCTGTAGGAATAGTAGAATTTCATCCAAAGGGTTTGAAACATCCTTGGCTGAAGGTGACTTAATTTTGTACAAGTAGAAGATTAGATTCCTCTAGATACACAGAGATTTGGCCAACTACGGAAGGGGAAGGGCAGGGGCAGGGGGGAGACAAAGAGAGGTTGTTAAGATGTTACTTCATTTTCAATATTAATGTTTTTATATAGCAATATCCAGTTAACAGGGCCTTATATTAAAAAAAAGCCTGTCATTAAATATTACACATTACCAAAATATAAACAAAAACAGGTGGTCAGCATTTGATATGGTAATACCGGATAGATACTGGTCAACATTGGAGAGATTACAGTACCGGATAGATAATGGTCAACATTGGAGAGATTACAGTACCGGATAGATACTGGTCAACATTGGAGAGATTACAGTACCGGATAGATACTGGTCAACATTGGAGAGATTACAGTACCGGATAGATACTGGTCAACATTGGAGAGATTACAGTACCGGATAGATAATGGTCAACATTGGAGAAATTACAGTACCGGATAGATACTGGTCAACATAAGAGATTACAGTACCGGATAGATAATGGTCAACATTGGAGAGATTACAGTACCGGATAGATACTGGTCAACCTTGGAGATATTACAGTACCGGATAGATAATGGTCAACATTGGAGAGATTACAGTACCGGATAGATAATGGTCAACATTGGAGATTACAGTACCGGATAGATAATGGTCAACATTGGAGAGAATACAGAACCGGATAGATGATGGTCAACTGTTGAGGTATAAATTGAAGCTCAATATAAGAATTGCAGTGTTGCTGAGAATGACCAACTTCAATACAAGACATATGATCTCGTGCATGATAGTATTGCGGAAAAACTGCACGCGCATTATCAGTCGCGAGTGCCGTATCGGTCAACAATTTAATGATAATCAGCCTGTACTTGTAATCAAATAAACTGACCTTCCGATGATAGACATACGGCGCCTATATCTGAGTATACAGACTGGCCACTGCTCTACGGGCGGGCAGCTTGTTTCCTCCCTTCACATGTCCGAACACACCGATGGGTGCGATATCATATCTTCAAACGACTTTAATTTTCTACTTTACATTTTGGAGCGAGTCCAAGGATTTGCAATTTGTTTGAAAAGATTTCGGCAACAACAACTTTGTCAGGTTTTTTAGGAAACGTTACCCAAACAATCTTTTTACGTAAGAGAAGTTCTGGAAGGAGTTGTCCCGAATCCAATTTTCGGTACGATTATTCTCTATCAATGTCAGCTACGGTTTGCATTTGAAAGCCAAAAAAATATGATTGACAATATTATAACCGTTTGCCAACCCTCCATCGCACAATCAGCAGAGAAATCTCAACTAAACAAAACGCTGCAGTCCTTTCAGATTATGTTCGTCGGGCTCACATTGCAGCATCGTGCGTCAGGGCGTCCCACGATTAGACGCCACATAGATCCTGTGTAGGGGACGCTGTTCGACAGATGTGCGTTAGGAGCTTTCCTCCTTCAAACGGTATGGACCGTCCGTCGCTTCTCACGGCGGTAAAGAGCTTACCTCCACATATCAAAGAAGTTTCCTCTGAGCTGTATCTCAGAACCTTCCGTTAAGAAAGGTTTATCATCCCTGTCTATATTTCTTCCAAAGCTTGGAGTAATTTCTTCAGTATTTCATTGAAGAAACCCAGTAGACGTAATATATAACCGATGACTGTCGGCTAAACTAGCTAAGGTTTTTTTTATCAGTAACACACATACATATATATATATCCACATTGATAAGGTGGATAAAAATACGAGACTTTGATAATTAAGTGTTTGCCAGAAAATGTCAATTATAACAGCACGGTAACCAAACCAGACTGTCTTAATTATAGGGTAGCTATAGCGACAGTTGAGGTAGGTAGGTGTGGTGAACCCCGCTGGCGGGGATTGACACGTTAATCCTCAAAACATTTAACAGTGAGACACATATACGACAATAAAAATTAGTTTAATTTGCATTGATAAAAAAAACTGCTAGTTAAGTACATACATCTCAGAGTGGTTGTAGAGAGTCGCGCCAGCTAGGGTGCTATCGGTAGCCTATCGTAGCTATACATATGCATTCACACTTACAAGGGAAACCCATAATTTCCGGCGGCGACCGCCGAGTTACTGTTTGTCAGAGCCTGGTACGTGAGAATATCTACGGTCATGTATCCCGGTGCTGTGAGAGGAGGTCTCCAGTTTCAAACTTCCTATTTCTGTTCTTCTCTTGAACATTGCGCGTTACATTAACTACTTAAACCTTCTGTCGGACGATAGCGTAGATTTGAATGCTACAAGTCATACAAGTGTTGGTCCCTGACATCTGTCTGATGGATTTCCACGTTTGGAATTATCAGTTACCTTATGTGTCAAAATGTTCTCTCTTTATATGATGTGATAGTATTTGTTATAACAGATACTTGCCCTAAACTAATGCCTTCCCGGCAAAATCCTTTCGCGTACATGGCGACATAATTCAAATGACACCATGGAGCTACGGAAAATTACCACATCGTGCTTATTCTATATGGCCATTGTGTCGGCAACGTGCGCAGAACTCAATAACATCATCGATGGGTTTCAGAAGGTGAGTCTTTTTTAAATATAATCTCTCGTGGTTGCCTTTATGATACTGCATTAACAAATGCCGGTGGATTTAAACAGCAATGCTAAATGACTTCACGGCAGTTCCTAACTTTTTCTAGACAGGGTATGTTAGATTCCAGTCATGGGGCATTTCTCAGGGATCTAAAGGTTGATTGTTTTAGCTATATCCCTTTTGGACCAAGACGTCCCTACATTGTGCCAAATCCCATTTGTTTCATTGAACAAATTATGTTAAGTCAATCAAATCAAAATAATCATTGTCATATTCGTAAAATGCTTTTTATTAAGTTGGTTGTATTTTGTTATCAAATTAACTATAATACGTATCTGTGGATACTCCGATATTATACACCCTGTAATAGGTTTGATTTCGGCATGAAGCTGAATGTTAACGAAGACAAATTGTGTTGGTGCTACTCCCAAATGACAACCAGAATAACCTTGCTTGCAATCACTTGGCTGAATGTCTGTTTATTTTTGTATCATTTGGCCTACTAAGGAACTGTAGGCCAAGGAAATCTTGGGCTGAAGTAAGGTTGTGACCGGTGTGTGTCCGGGATTGAAACATCGAGATGTGTATACTGAACCATGTTAGTATGGTTTGTCTTGTTCTACCAGATATATATCGCACTACGTACTGTCAGAAGCCTTAACACACAAATATCGTACGGTCAGAAGCCCTACCACGCAAATATCGTACGGTCAGAAGCCCTACCACGCAAATATCGTACGGTCAGAAGCCCTACCACGCAAATATCCTACTGTCAGAAGCCCTAACACGCAAATATTGTACTGTCAGAACCCCTAACACGCAAATATCGTACTGTCAGAAGCCCTAACACGCAAATATCGTACTGTCAGAAGCCCTAACACGCAAATATCGTACTGTCAGAAGCCCTAACACGCAAATATCGTACTGTCAGAAGCCCTAACACGCAAATATCGTTCTGTCAGAAGCCCTAACACGCAAATATCGCACTGTCAGAAGCCCTAATACGCAAATATCCAATTGTCAGAATCCCTAACACCCAATTATTGTACTTCAGAAGCAGTAACACGCAAATATCGCACTGTCAGAAGCCCTAACACGCAAATATCGTACTTCAGAAGCCCTAACACGCAATTATCGTACTTCAGAAGCAGTAACACGCAAATATCGTACTCTCAGAAGCCCTAACACGCAAATAGCGTACTGTCAGAAGCCCTAACACGCAAATATCGTTCTGTCAGAAGCCCTAACACGCAAATATCGCACTGTCAGAAGCCCTAATACGCAAATATCCAATTGTCAGAATCCCTAACACGCAATTATTGTACTTCAGAAGCAGTAACACGCAAATATCGCACTGTCAGAAGCCCTAACACGCAAATATCGTACTTCAGAAGCCCTAACACGCAATTATCGTACTTCAGAAGCAGTAACACGCAATTATCGTACTGTCAGAAGCCCTAACACGCAAATAGCGTACTGTCAGAAGCCCTAACACGCAAATATCGTACTGTCAGAATCCCTTATAGGCATATAGTGTCTTTCAGAAGCTCTAACACGCAAATCTTGTACCGTCAGAAGCCATGATACGCATATATCGTACTGTCAGAAGCCCTAACCGGATTTCGTTGTATCGAATAGTCTGACTAGGATTTCTAGATATTCCAAATCAAAACCATTGTCCGTCCAACGATCCGTGGATATCCGTTTTCTACACTATTGTTTCTTTCTGTCCTGCTATCCGTTAATATCCGTCTCGTCCACAATTATTGTCTTTCCTGGCTACCACTATTGTTGGTTTCTTTAACCGTTATTTTTTCTCCTGTGTTTGACTTCGTCCGTCCGTCCGTCCTTTTTCACTATTATCAATACCCTCATATACACATCTAGTTGTGTCGGCCTTGTGATCAATAGCCATCCTTACAAATACTCATTGTGTTTAATATCATCTGTGTCTGTCTTGTTGACCATCATCGTCTGTCTTATCTGTTAGCACCGTCCGTCCTGTGAGTAACCGAGCAATCTACCATCTACGTCCGTCATGCATAACGTAATTGTCCGTCCGATCTACCATCGATGTCAGCTCTGTCTACCAACTATGTCCAAAGTATATATCGATGTACCATGAAATTGACGTCTGTTTTATCTTACATCACCACCTGACTTGTGTAATATCATTATTCATTCTAGCATCAATGTTTGTTTGTGTTCTAGTAAATGCCTCTCATGCCTTCCATCACCGGCATAACTGTTTGTTTGTTCTGTCTATACTCGGATAGAGGGATGATTGTTTGTGAAATACTCGTGTCTTAACAGACGCAGATTTATACATATCCACGTGCATTATCAAGGAGGGGATTTATCACAAGCAATCTGCACATACGCTAGCTCTCGACGTTGATATGACAGCAATGTTAAATCTTATAATGATTTAATGTTTAACACAGAATACGTTTCTAAATCACAAAATGGTATTCGCCATTCCGGAAAAGAAAACGCCGATTTCTGAAAAGGAAATATTGATCTCATAAAATATATATCGGACATAGAAATCAGTCGTCTTCGACAAAGCATTGTTTACTCTCGGACACGGAAAACTCACATCTCGTACAGATTGATTAGCTTACATAGTAACCGAGATATCGTTGCTTGGCACGTCCGGTTAGCAAATGTTTTATCTTTAACAAAAAGAAACATTTATTCCCAAAACAAAATCCAAATTACTCTAAGAATTTGAAAACAGTTAAGCATAAGTTAAACTAACTGAAAAATAATTTCCTTGCGGCATATTTCAAATCCACTTATGTACAGCATGACCAAGCTCCTTGTTCTTGGCATAAACACTACCTATACATGATACGGTACTCCCATCCTTGATCCCAGCAAGTTAGAATGATGATAATGTAGACAAACAGCATGTCTACAAGTTTCAAACTTCAGACTGCATTGAATTCATCACCATAGGACAAGGATAAACTAATTAAAACACATTAGTACTTCCTGTTGAATTCCCATTGGCCTGAGTGACATTCATGGCATATATGAACGCCAACTGGTCAGTGCTTGTTTTGTACTCATTTTATAAGATAAATGTGTCAATGAAATTTTCTTTTTAATAAAACCGATTGATTTACACCAATAACAGAGCCAACTGTTTTCCTCAGCTTAATTTTACTAATAATCTTATAAATAATGAAATTATCTTGTCATCTGATCATATTAAATTATCTAGTAATCTCAAGTATCACACATGCTTTATGTACTGGATAACTTGTCTGGTGAAAAGCTCGTATTATCTGAAGATATATGGTTAGTGTAGATTTCTTATCACTTCCGGCGGATTACGTGTCCGACAGAATTAACTACGCGACTCTCTCATACATACAACACCCTGTCTCACTGATATCGCTCACTAGGGATACTGCCGACTAACGGCGCTTTGAACATTTATTTATCTGATACAGAGAAACTGACTTTCAACACTGATACGATTTATGGGTCAGAAGGGGGGATATTTCCTTTCGCCAACTGCATTCTGGCATGGTAGAACATTGATAGTGATTTCTGACAGCTTAACTGGCCACTTGTATCCCCATCCCAGTACCAGGAAACACGTGCTGCCAAACATGCGATATACCACTGGCTACACAATGCAACAAATATGATAACAGTTTGAAGGAAAATGGTTTCAGAGGCAGTAGATTTTAAGGTGTTGTGTCATAAATCATGTTATATATAGATAAACAGCTTCCAATAGAACATTGTTTCTATTTTCTCTTCCGTTTCCTTGAGTTATAGATAAGTCTAGGGTAATCTATTCGTTCATCTGTCAGTCTACAAAACACAGACCTGACTAGTTAGTTGACATAACGATGCAATAAATCTTTGCAAACGTCACAGAAGATTGAAAACTGTAGAACAAACACAATGTGTAGGTGATTTTAATTCCCGATTGCTACTCTTTACAGTATACGCGCCCGGCATGTCATATTTTTTTGTTTAAAGTGTTCTTTTGTGTCTGACACAGGTATATGAACTGTAGACTTCCGGAATTGATAACGATGTCATAATTGATAGAAAGCTGTCATAAACTTTGTATAAATGTCTATATTTCTCTCTTATCGAGTTGTTGAATCAAAGCAATGTTTAGTGCACACATGTTATAGATTAGTGTAATATAAACTATTATAGCGTCCATAAACAGTTAAACAGGCGATTGTTATCGCCATTTTCCTATCTACACCATGTACTCGTCTTGTATGGTAGAGTACATGCTTGGGAATCGGTATAAAAAAGTAACAAATACATCTAGCATTTCGTCAAACCAGTTGCCGTTGTTGGTCGACCGTTATTAGGGTAGTCGTTTCTCTGTTGTTGGTCGACTGCTATGAGGAGTCGTTTCTCTGATGTTGGTCGACCGTTATAAGGGGAGTCTTTTCTCTGTTGTTGGTCGACTGCTATGAGGAGTCTTTTCTCTGTTGTTGGTCTACCGTTTGGAGGAGTCTTTTCTATGTTGTTGGTCGATTGTTATAAGGGGAGTCTTTTCTCTGTTGTTGGTCGACTGCTATGAGGAGTCGTTTCTCTGTTGCTGGTCTACCGTTTGGAGGAGTCTTTTCTATGTTGTTGGTCGATTGTTATAAGGGGAGTCGTTTCTCTGATGTTGGTCGACCGCTATGAGGAGTCGTTTCTCTGATGTTGGTCGACTGCTATGAGGAGTCGTTTCTCTGTTGCTGGTCTACCGTTTGGAGGAGTCTTTTCTATGTTGTTGGTCGATTGTTATTAGGGTAGTCTTTTCTCTGTTGTTGGTCGACTGCTATGAGGAGTCGTTTCTCTGATGTTGGTCGACCGCTATGAGGAGTCGTTTCTCTGATGTTGGTCGACCGCTTTGAGGAGTCGTTTCTATGTTGTTTCTATGTCTTTGCTTTGTTGTCGTCGACCGCTTTGAAGAATCTTTTCTCTATTTCGCGATTATCAAAACCCTTTTGTCGCGC